TCAAAAGGGAGGGGAAAGGGGGGGAGCGGAGGGGGGAGGGGGGAAGGTTTGCTGCATTTCTGGGGGAGGTCCTGCCGGTCCCCTCCAAAATCTACCTCTCCCCTCCAACAGCAACACCCACGCCTCAGAAATGCTGCAGTTGGGGGCGAGGAGAAGATCGACAATCGACGCCCTGTTTTCGCTCTTTTCCAAGCTCGGTTTGCAACGCGAAACCTACTCCGAGCCTTTAAATAGGAACCTTCTCCACACCCATCCCTAAAACAGAAACCCAAAGGAAATCATCCTTTCCCTGATGGTGTTAGGAAGACGGTTTTTTGTTTGTCCTTTTCGTTTTGTCCTGCCTGTCCTTTTCTCTTATCCGATCTATTTCGTTTTTTAAAAACCCAACACCTCTTTTCCCCTTCTTCCTCGATTGAATTTATAATCGTTTTTCGGACAAGATTTTGAGTGAAAGTGTTAGAGGAGAAAGTGAAATAATGACCTCAAAAATAAAAAAAGGCCTACCAAGATGGCGAATTTGTTCTATACTGCCAGAGACCTTGGTGCTTGGCAGAGAACGAACCTAACGAATTCCATATATATTTGGTTTGTAGACGCCTTACAGCCCCGACAATTTGTGTCAGTATAAAACGGATTTGTTCACAAAATTGCCTATTGGTATTGCACGCGCATCCTCGAATGACCCCTTTCCCATCAGATACCTATTTATGGGTAGGAGATCGAGATACTTAATAACGCTATCCGGTTTCTTATTAATAACTTAGCAACTATTTAATTTTAGCCAATTAAATCTAGACCGCCCCCAGCCGTTTTAAATAAAATACTGCAGCACTAATATAACCTTACAGCTGCAAAGGCGAAGGAGATGGGTTAGAGAGGGAAATCTAACCCATTTTATCTACGCAATCTTCTACATGTCTACTCAGAAAGAAGTCAGGCTGAATTTAGTGAGGCTTACTCCCAGGTAAATAGGTTCAGGGTGGAGCTTTAAGCACCTGCACAGCAGCTTGGTTCAGCAAATTGTTTCTCATGTGACTGGCGGCTCCCTCCACCCCGCCGCTCTCTCTTCTTCTATTAATACGACAATTAAATGGTCTTAAAATAGAATCCTGTCTGAAGTACCGACAGAATGTATTTTTGTCCTGCCTAGTTTTATTGGATTTTTTTTTTTTTTTTTTTTTTTTTTTTTTTTTTTTGCGTTTGTGTGTGTGTATGGGGGAGAATGAGATTGGAATTGTGCAGAATGTTTTTTTAAATCTTTATATAAATGGGAGGGATCAGACTTGAATGAGAGGTGACAACATTATATTACGGGAAGAGGAAGAAAAGTCGGGAAAGGAAGGAAGAAAACCTTGCGATTGTCGCACCAAGCTGTTTATAACTGGAAGGATTTCGTAGCCGAAATTTGAATTTTGAAAGAAGGGAAGCTCAGAAGAAGTAGTCCTTGGTCCAAGATCATGTTAAGGCAGAAACGAGCCCCTCGGCTTTTCAGAAGACTCCAAGTAAATTGGGCGATGAGTTAAACGGCAGCTTGGAACGAGTGCGTTTAGGTGAATGAGTGGAGAAGGTCAAAAAGAACACACCAATCAAGCCCGCATACAAGCACACACCCGGAAAGAGTCGCTGCTACAGATTGGCAGAAGAAGCCTCCATCCTGATTATCACATATGAATGCACAAATAGGTCGAGAAAGACAAAACCCCGTGCTCTTCTCCCGCTCTCCGTGTTTAGAAAAATCCAGCGTACATTGTGGGAGGAAAAGATTTCCTTGCAAAACGACAGTGTAAAGGGGGTCCAGCTCGCAATCACCCCTCTAGGGCCTCCGTTTCTGGCGACACGGCTGTGTTGACACATTCTTAGTTATGCCATGGCTTTTGTGGTTAAGAATAAATAAAGGACTTCCGGCTATTAAAGAGCGCGTGCTCCTTCTTTATCATCACGTTCCCTTGATTCAGCTTTATTGATTTGGACCGCTCGGTTCCCAAACCAGCGTAGCTTTGGCGACCCAGGGCTTTTAAGAGAAGGGGTGGGGTGGGGACTAAAAATGAATTTTCTACCAGAATACTGATTCTTCTAGAGGAACCTCAACTACAGAATTAAAGGGGGTGTGGGAGGCAAATACCTACAGGGCAACTTGAAACCGTGAAGTCGTCCCTGATGAATACTGAACTGGACAGCTTGAGCGTCTCCATTCCTTAAGGCGTTCAGCAAATCCGAACAATTTCAAAATAATATTTGACGCTTTCTTTTAATACCTCCTCCCACTTACTCTGCGCATCGCAGCAAAATAACATTCTGACTGCACCCGCTGCAAAATAATTGGAAAACCCTATCGGGCTAGAATTGAATAAGCAGGACCTACGGGCGGTTATGCCTGAAGTTAGAAGGCATACAATGAATGACAGGCGTCTTCACCCACACCTGAGTCCTATTCTTCCTCTCAAAATCTTTCGGGGGAGGGGAGCCCACAGGGATTTGCTAAACGAAGAGCAAAGGGAAGGCAACCGCCTAAAGAACGCCCCGCCTTATCCCCGTTTCTTTTGCCGGCTGGAAAGGGTCACGGGCAGTCATCTCGGAAATCCCTGTTTGCGGATTCTGAATGAGGGAAGCCCCATTGTCTTCATTAAGCTTTCTTTTCTTCGGTGACGTCAAAGCTTCCTCCGCCCCAAGAGCCCCCGCCCGTCCGCCCGCGTTTCCTGCTATTCCACCTTCCTGCCTCCACCGAGCCGTGCCTCTCGCCCCCAATACAGAACCAGGGAAACCAACCCGCTTTCCACTCTTTTTGCCTTATCCATTCCTTTTCCTAGTTCAGACCCAAAGCTCAGTCGCTTCGGGTTTGACTCCGGAATTTTCTAAACCTACTTAGGCTCATTCAGTAAAGCAGGAGTGGATGGAGCGACGACTTTGCTTTTAGTTATTTAAAAAAAAATTAAAAATTAAAATTCACCAACTACCGCTGCAAAAATGCATTTTGATGTATAGCGGACCTGACAGCGGCGATTGGAGCAAAGAAAGAATGGGATAACTAAGAGTAGGTAACGGAATTCCACGCAAAAAAAAAATTGGCTCTTTTAGTTACCCCAAGCTAAGAAATCCCCATCGGCAGTACAATTTAGGAAGTGGGAGGAAAACACTTATCAGAACTCTCTGCCGGCCTATTACATAATTCCTCAAAGATGTACCTGTAGATCCGAGTTTTTTTTTACATTTATCCCTGCAATAGACTTATAGGCTTCTGTTCCAAAAGGAAAAACCCAAGCATTTGGGTATTAAAGACCTGCATCGGTATGGAATGTGTCGCTTACGGATTCCGGGACTAGTTTGCATTCAGGGTATTTAAATTTGAACCTGTCTGCTACCCAGACAGACAGTTGTCTCTCCTCTTCTCCCAGTTTTCAGAATCCTTCTGTTCCCCTTATCGGAGTTACCTGGCTGCCCTATGAATTACTGACCCCCAAAACAAGGAAGCAAACTCCCACTAAAATAAGTTCTGATTTGGTGCAGTCGTTCACACAGGACGCTTTGAACACATGCATCTCTGTCCACCTTTAGCCCCCCTCTGTCCTTAAACGCAGGGGATCTAAAAATAGCAGCGATCATGGACCAACGGCGTTGACTGGAGAATATACTTCGAAAAAAAGGACACCAGTAGAGCCATCTTAGTACAGATTAAACTGATCGATCTTATTAGAGAGTTCATTAGGCTTTAAGTTCCATCTTTATCTTCCATCCCGAATGGACCTATTCAGTAACTCTACCTCTTTTTGATGCTTTCCTCAGCTTCCCACTCCACCCAAAGACACGTGTTTACAGTTAGGAATACCGTCCTGACAACCGTTCCGTCTTAACAACCCAGACTGCTAGTGCAGAGTAGCACTGTTTTGTTACTCTGTATTTTGCTTTGGGTCATCCAATTTCCAGAGTGTCTAAGCCTACCCTTTCACGTTTAGGTAACTCCAGCCCATTTCCTAAACCTTGTTCGAAACTAAAGGCACGCTCACACGTGCATTCTCTTCCATTCACAATCCGATAGTCAGTTGTTGTAGAACTCAAGGTCTGGTGGGAGGGGGAAGTGGCCGCAGGGGGATGTCTCTTTCTGGGTGTTGTTTGGAGAAAAGGCCCGCACGTGGTTGGCGCAGGGCAAAAAGTTGCACGTCCGTCGAACAGGACGCGTCACCCTGGAGGCAGTCCAAGGACCGGCTGCTTGACCGGGAGGTGGGTTGTATTGTGAATACGTGTCGCCAAGTCGCTTCCGAGTTATGGCGGCCCTAAGTGGGCTTTCGCGGTGTGTGAGATGTTAAAGGGAATGCTTTACACGGATCACGGCGCCCCTTTCCCCAAGTGAGTTTCCACTGCCAAGAGGGGCTTTGAACGAGGTCTCCTGCGTCCGGATCTGGCAGTTCATCCACTGCATCACATCGGTCTCAGCCGAACGTATTTGCCGTGGCGGCAGCAGTTCCTTCGCAGCTGTCTGTCGCTCCACCTCCAGTAGCTCAGGAGTTGAACGCGGGGGTCTAAAGCAAGGACACCGGGGGACCCTACGGTGCGATTACTTACGCCTCTATTCTTCGCCCTTCCTGCCCCACAAGCCATTCTCCCTTCCGAATCTGGGACCCCGATCCTCCAGACACTAAACACTTACCAAAGAGTAAGCCGAAAGGCCTTCAGGGGAACTTGCTTCCAAGGAGACCCGTCTGGATTCACCCTGGGAATTACTGACAGGGGCGTTGGTTTGTGCCCTGTCCCCGCAGACTCAAGAACTAGGGATAAGAACGCTTCTCTTCTTCGTTTTGTTTGGTCGTGTATTTTTTTTGGGGGGGGGGTTGTTTAAGCTAGGAAAAGACTTTA